TTACCAAAGAGTGACTTCCACATACATGTAGGAGGGTTAATGGCCAACTTTCAATCTAAATTCAAGACAACTGAAAAGAACTGTGACATATGACACTTGACAGTAGTGTGTTTGCCTATCAACTGTCCAACTTGAGTGATATGGCATTGTTTTACCCTAATTTCAACCCCGTGTTTCCAACAGCACAAAAGCTGTTTAAAAATTGTCAGAAATACACATGAAGACGTCAGGCACAGACATATACAAGTACACTACATGACTTCACCCTTATTCTTTCATACCATTGGTGGCTCATGGGAGAGTCTGAATATTCATGAACTTGTTTCACCCACAAGAGGATTGCTCATGGACTGTATATTCAATAAGCCTGATATCCACATATATACCATGACATTGTCAGAAAACAGAAAATTTCAAAGTGGACAAACAAGAACTTCAAAATGTCAAGCTGCTTCAAAGCTTTTGCAGACAGGGCAGAGAACCTGGCAGAATCTACCAAGAAACTGGTGTGTTGGATAATGCATGAGATACTGCAGTAAAAAACAAGACATATTGACCACAATAAAACTACTTTAGTTTTTAAAGGGAGGTGACACCTTTAATTTTTGGGCGTAATTTCACATGATTGGCTGATGATGGGATATGAGATTTACTGCAACTCGCATTCCACTCACTTGTTTCATGTTTGAGTCAACTGCTTTGTGACTAATCAAGAAAAACACCGTGGCATATTCAACGATTAAATCGAAGATCTTGTAATTTATCTTGCATAAAATCTATGAACTACAGGGTTTTCATAGTGAACAACACCCGCAGGATCATGTCAGCATGACAGGTTCTCTTTCCCTTTAAAAACAACAGTAATCAGAGAATTTACCTTGGAGTAATGCGCCTCCTCAACAATGTGGCATTGTGGATTCATGGAAAAAACTTCATCCTGGAATAAAGTATGCAGTCGACTCGTGTCCGTGACACTGACACGAGTATGCACGTGTGTGCACGATCATGCTTAGTGAATGACCACACTTTCACGTCAGTTTAAACGTCAATGAAAGTCTCAAAACTCCATTCCTCGTTGACTATAATTACGGGCAACGAGGAACTTACATCTCAAAACACAGGAGGTTTAATGTGTGGAAATCATGTTTTTTGTTGACGAAATCCTCTCACTATGCTCGCTACACAGCTCAAAAATGGCTGCAATGTTTGGACCATACCATTTTGCTTCGGGGGTGATTTTGAATTTGAGGTTTCGCGTCAAGAAAATCCTTTCCTAAAATAAAATTTAACTTCAAAGTGATCCAATTCCAATGTACGTTTTACTTTGTACCTTACACTTAGTGTCCTCTAATTTCAGTTTAGAATGTATTTGGTAAATTTCTGCCAGTATGTTTTAAGCTGCTGTTAGTATTACCCGTTTATTTGTTATTCAGACCCCCACATCATCTGAAAACACTACGCATAAAATTGGTGCCGGTTAACAATTGTGGTGTGTATTGAAAATGAAACAAACAGATAAAATGGTTGGTCAACCATCGCAAAAAAAAAAAAAGAGAACAAAATTTCTGTTTTCTCAAGAACAGCAACATTCTGGGCGGATACATTTTACAGACTGACCAACCCTGTTATTTACCCTCTTTCAAGTAATACATTCGAGGATTATTCGGCAGCCCATTTCTGTGATTTTTCCAAAGATTTAACCTACCTTTCAGGAGAGAGAAATTGACCTTATTGAGTCCACGAATTTGCAAACATGATTTTTAGTGTTTTGGGACAGTATACCGATATGCCCGTCTGGCATTATAAAATAGCAACAGTATAAGTCCGTACTTGAAAAAAAAGCCTCTTTTAACACCAGATTCTGTTGGTCTAAACCCCTCCCTCCACTCTACCGTTCCTGTTCTCCCCTTCCTGTTCTCCCCCTCCTCCCCCCCCCCCCCCGGCACTCACGGAAGTAAATACATGTATACCTCACTCATGCCAATCCCCATGCTGTGACCTCGGATGGGACAATAGTTAAATGCTTCACGGAATGTCTGCTGACAGAGTTCAGTCCAAGACGGTGGGTCCTCCCTTCCTGCCAAGCAGCACAGGTGATGCGGCATCGGTGGGATAATCCCTTTCGTAGATTGGCTGATGCCGTGCTGAACAAGAAGTGGACTCAACCTTGCTTTCTAAGCCCTGTTGAGACAAAACGAAACAAAAATAATTGAGCAAATCTACTGAACTGCCACAGTATCGTGTCGCTCCATGGTGTTTTCTACTGGTATGTTTTACTGGTTATGTTTTGTCCCTGGTAATTTCTGCCACATTTACCATGTTTACATGTACACGTTTGTATAAGTGCACTAGCCTTACATACCTAGTGTGGACTTGTGAAGAAAAGGTGTCCACACGATGCAGGAAAGGAAGACGTTCTGTGGACTTACACATGTCCACAGGACATTTCCCCTTCTCTGAAAAAGAAGTTTAGAGGCATTCGGGGATGGGGTCAACTGTCATAAAAGGAAGAGGAATAGTCAAGGAAATCTTGTACAAAAAGCCAGCTAACAATGGCGTTCTCAGTTCAAGAAAAACAAGTATTTTCACTGAGTTTTCTTAACTGCACGAAAAGAAAGGAATATCCATACTAGGTGTGTAAGGTAAGTGCACATGAGTGTGTTGGTAGTTGTTATTTAATTGCATTTCTGGGGGCCACTACCAGACAAGCTCTGCTTTTTAGAGGCCCCATTTATCACTGTAAATCTGTGATATTTATCATATTGTTATGTCGAGAAATACATGTAAATGAGATTGAGACTGAATCAAAACAGAGTTTGTACATGGCTATCTCCCAGGTTTGAAAAACCTTACAGTTCTGGAAGTACTTCCTTTCAATTTCAACGATTTACACATTTATAGTTTTGCAGGTATGTCTAGTGTTATAACTTAGGCCTATACATGTACACTGTACTTCACGCTTGGATAAGTTAAACAAGTGGCATATTATTATGACTGTCACGTATGTCATGTCTGTATAGGCCTAGTGTAAACGTAAACAAATGCCATGAGAATGGAATTTTTTCGGATTGCCAATTAAGCTTGAATATTGCCTTCCTTTCTGAACAAAAAGAATGGCCAAGGCAGCCTCAAAAATCAAAGAATCAACAGGAGGACATTACCCTTTGCTAGTGTGATCAGCCGGATGCAATTCCCCAGTGTTTATTTCTAGTTGAGTGTTTGATGTCACTAGTCTGGATGTCTATGGGTACCTGTACTCTCCTACAATCTGCTGAGTAAGAGGTAACGCTTGTTTAGGAACCAGTCTATTTAAAATCCTTTCCGCAGGTCAAAGGTCTCCAGAACTTCAATAATTCATCAGAGTTCGCCCTTGAAGGCAATATTTTGACAAATTTTCTCTACACATTTTATGACTAGAGTTTTATTTGTTGGGTTTGATCTCCGACACGCAAATCAGTCTCCTAATATTCATGGTCCCAGACGCTGATCTTTGGTGCAATCATGGAGGAATAAAACAGCCACACCTACAAACTGACTTTTTCGGTCACGCGGAGGTTGCACTACACCAAGTACGTGCCCATATTAGTGCAAAATCGGACCGAAATAGCGCCGCCTGTTGACTCTCACGAAGAGGTTCACCTTCGTTTTTTTCACTGGAAATTCAAGATTATAGCCAGATCACTTTTCGTTTCAATTTCATGGGGGTAAATCACGAATTTTTCTTTTTTTATTCGCCTTCAAGTTTGAACGAAGATAAAATAGCAATAAAACTAAGGGCTCATTTTTGAATGTAGCCGCCCGCATTTTTCCAAAAAAGGATTTATAGAAATGTTTCTATGTTGCCTCCTGGTCATGGCCTGTCTTATTGTAAAAACCCCGATGGATCACACAATCTTAATGAGCTCGCGCGCAGAAATACAACCAGAAGTTGGTGGAATGCACCCGGAGAGTTTGTCTCCGGATCAATTCCCAGGGCGGCCCGGAGCTTAACTTGAAATTCAATTCACGCATGAAGCCACCGCAGCTATCACAACCATGCACATATAGTACATGTATAAGACTAAACCAACCATAAAAACTTCACACGTGAAACTTCTCAACCATACACAAAGCTCCTATTACCGGTATATAACCTCCCTGTCCACAATTTCGACACAGGCCGGGATTCGAACCCACACCCCATAGATCACAAACCATTTGCTGGGCTCCATGTTTTAACCGCTAAGTTGACTACCGCAGTTGCTGGTGTTTTTGTGCCGACGAATGGCTCCAACATACACGAGTCTAATATTATTACAGTCACGGTGGACATGCACAATAAAAAAACACAACCACTGTGGTGGGGCTTCACACGTGTGATTGCGTTATCTCTTATTCGGTAATGCCTCAACCCGTGCGACTGTTTTATAGTAGATCTACATTTCATTATGCTGCGCTGTGGAAGCACAGTAATACCAGTCACAACCTAAACATACTGGAACATTGCTTCTCTGCTCTTCATTGGGTTTGTTCTAAATCAAGTTGGGCATTCGACAATTCTGTTGACAAAAGGAACACAATGCACAAATGACAAATGATGGACTGTACCTTTCAACTCGTTCCGCAACCCAGACAATACGTCCTAGTGTTATCAAAACTCACACATATCTTTCGAGATCATTTCTCAAACGATTCCGTGCAATGCGAAAACTGAGGTGTTAAAAAACACAATTGGTGTTATCAGATGACCGCACCATAATATTACTTTAACACCGCTGGGTTTACTTTGCACACCTACAAATGATGAGTGCACTGGTGGGTGTAAAACGTAACACCAGGGTGTGTTGAAATAATACCAATAGTTTTAACGCTGGTGAGAAGTGTTGGTATAGTCCTCTGACATAACACCGATTTAACACCCCTATTTTGCTGTGTGTCCCCTTATGCAATGATCCCGCTGTGCAAAAATGCGAAAAACAGATTTGCCTCAGCCGAATTTTTGGCAAAAGCAATATACCCTGCTTTCTTCATGCTTGAAAATATTGCATTATGTGTCAGTAGTTCACTCATCATTTTACTCGAAATTTGAACAGTCCATGTAATGTCTACAGAAACGTCAAAAACACCCATTCGGATCCGGCACTTACAGAAAAGGGGTGCCCCCTCCCCAAAACTAGGTGAACGTAGCTATGTGAGCAGGACTTATTTTTGTATGATAATTTCTGTCTTTAAAAGTGATGAAATAACCACATACGAGAAAAATTTCAAAATGGAAAAAAAAATCGACAAATACAAATAGGGTAGGCGCACGCTGAGTGCCCGCTCTCTACTCTGCATCTGTTGTTGAATTTGAATTTTATTGTATACTGACATGACATATTTTAACGTAATATTGCTTTTGGTTGACATCTAAAAAGATGTTGACCTAATTACAATCCTAAATGTAACTGAGCAAACTCTTTCGAAAAAAAAAACCCAGATAAAGTAGCCTTGGTCAAGGCCCGGCAGTCGTGCACCTGCCGCTCGAAGTTCAAGGCGAAGATCATGGCGAAATCGCGCGGTCTAAGAAATATGCAAATCAGCTGAAGTCCTGGTTCAGCTGATTTGCATATTTCTTAGACCGTGTGAGGTCGCTCTTCGCCTTGATTTCGATCGGCAGGTGCGCGCGCGCGTGCGCTGCGACGAATGACGAACGCAGTGACCAAGGCTACATATAAAGTAGCCTACAACAGCTTGTGAAAAATGAATGACAGTTTTTTAATTATAGTTTTGTACCCTTCTGCAGATTCGTCTTCATTTTACACCGTGTGGTCTATGCGGTGCAGTTTAATAATCTCGTGTTTTAGTTAGCCTTCTTTTCAATTTTTCTTGTTATTTTAGAATATAATAATGGAGAGCAGTGGGCTCAGACAAATTTCCCAAGTCATGAGAAAACTGTAATGCCATTTCTAGGAGAAAGTGCACGTAGCTAGCCATGGCGGCAAAAAGAGTGAGAGGCCCTTTGAAATTGCTCAGGGTACTAATGTGCAGTCCGACTTTCTTTCAGATTATCGATCGCAGTCCTTTTCACTTTTCAGTCGGGAAATCTTATATCGTCACAGTTACAACTGTCTGGCTTAAGGGCATTTTAAAACAAAAACTAAAATATTTGCTCTTGCGGAACGCACGACGTCAAGAGAAATGGCAGTGATAAAGTAAGTCAGTAAATAACCTCGTGATTTGGAGTACCATGTACCACTCAAGTTAAATGATATAAGATTCTGCAAGAATGTAATACATATTCAAATGTACATCTGTATCATGAACATCGCCCCTGTCATATGATGTCAGCCCTCCCCCTTCAAATTTCAATGGCCGGGAAAGACATTCCAAAGACAAATCCCTTTCCCCCATCCCCACCAGGCACAAATGGACGTCATTGCTTAGACCAGAATGCAATAGCTATAATGACAGAGTGTTTTCTGAAGAAAATCGGTAAAAATATCTGGAAAACCTAAAATAAAGGCAATGAAATTTGTACTCCTGGGCTGCTCATGCTTTCAGCCGCCCGACAATTTATGTGTATGCGTGCATAATTTTGATTTTACTAAATTTCTACCTTAAATTTCGATACTCTGATGCTCTAAGTTTTTTGTTCCTTTTCTTTGGTGATACAATATGCAAACAAGCGACCCCCTCGGTAATGCTTTCATTGAGCAATTTAAGGGTTCGCAATTTGGAGAGCAAAGATTAATCCGAACAGTGCCATTCCTACATAACCCAAAAGACGGCACCCAAGACTATGTCCAGACGTTGATTCCACTGGCCGCCTTTGCCCTTCTGCGGTGGCCCCTGAATGACATCATAACAACTGCATCCTACACTAAAAACACGGACAATTTTACATGTTTTGAAAAGTAGAGTGTTCAATTAATGCACTAATTAAAGGTTTTCAAATAATATTTCTGCACGTGAAAAGAATACAAAGTTGCATAAAAAGTCTGTGTAGGAAAAATTCATTGCCTGTACCCTTTAATGTGACAGAACACACCCACATTGTGTAGGTCTGTACGGCCGGAAATAAGAAAGGTGAAATACTTTTTTTGTTCCAATGGATCTTTGAAATACGTACACCTGACTTCACCTAAATTTAAGGGAAAATTTTTCGAGTCACGGATCACTTCTCGAAAGTGACCGAAGCATTACTCGAAAAAGACCTTATAGGCCTTACATGCATGAACTGCGCATGAGATTATCAGTTATGTACACATTGATTGATTTTGGTCTCGGGTATGTGAGAAAACTGCTCTTGTACAACAGCTGTACCAGACATTGTCGAACGAATGTTTTCATCAATCGTGCGGAAACAAATGCACTGCGATTGGCTGGGGGAACATTCATGGAAATCAGCCACTTACATATAGCAACAGATGGTTCTGTCGATTCAAAGCAATGAACAAATATAAGAGAGAACCTTAATTTTGCCAGTTCCATAGGCTTTTTGGCTTCAATTCTGTAGGCGTACACAGACTGAGGGTAAGTACACAACCCCATCAAAGAGATGTAAGGCATGCTCAGGTTTAGCCGACTTATCGGTTTAAAAGTGAAGCTCAGTATAAGTAGACAAAGACGAATGCGCTCGTATTTCTCAACTACTGAACGGCGTATGATTTGGTTATTTTGTGCACTGTTTATCAGTTAAATTGATGGGGGGCTTTTAAAACCATCTTTCATGTAGTGATTCGTGTAGAAACGACATTGCGAATTTTGATCTATTTATACTCACACAGGCTGGTTTTCGGAGATATTATTTGTGCCACCTCGAGGCAGGTCAAATACCCCATGAAGCCTCTTGCTCTGTATGTTGCAGCGTTAGGGATAGTGGCCACGTTGTTTGTAATGTCTGCCATGCTATCCCCAATGGTATCCAACCCTCTCCACTACGGCATCATTTCAAAAAAGACCCATTTGCTAAATTCTAACGCCATCTTCAGGGGCCTCATCCAACGGTGGAGGGCGCTGCCCTCCTCGGCGGGACCTCCATCAGTGCACGGTACTCTTCGTTTCTATAGGTCCATGCTGAATGACCAGGTATGGGGGAAAGTTTTCCATTTTGTTTTGCCAACTTGAACTCCGCCGGAGCCTTTATCTTCCTACAAAATCATTTACAGCTAATTTGTATGCGAAAACTGAGCGGATATTACAAAAAAAACTTTGGATTCGTTCCTCACGGCTGGGCAGGGACCATGCGTAATACCTCATACTGCGTTTTAATAAATGTATTTACTTTTTTAAACTGCAAAATTTACAGGCGATCACTCTGAAATATTCATCGTGTGCTCTGGTGTCAAGTTCAGGAATTCTACAAGACAAAGGTGCTGGCCAAGAGATAGACCGCCACGCCTGCGTCATAAGGATGAATCTTGCCCCGGTGAAAGGTCACCGGAGAGATGTGGGAACTCGGACTACTGTGCGGGTCATGAACTTCCTTTCTGCCCCAGTCGCTGTCCGGGTCCCGATGCCAGACGGCGCCATCTTTGTGTGGGGTCTGTATCTAGACAACAGGACAGATTATTACAGGAGGAAGGTCTTAGAGGTATCCAAAAAATACGGACACCGAACGCAGATCGTCTCTTTGACGCCAGACGGTGAAAAACATGCTGAATCACTGTTCTACTTTGAAACTGGACGCTCTTTGTGAGTCACAGAAGGGGGATTTTGTTTTATGAAATCTTTTTAGAAACGACCATTTGCACCAAGTTCCTTGTTATGCAAAGCAATGTTCATCATTTTCAATGTTACATTTTGCAATAATTTTGGGTTCCAAAAGTAAATACCTTCAGTCTGTTATAAGATACTCAACGCCTTCATTCGTCGTGAAATGATCGGCTGAAATGCACCCGTTATGCTTGGTTCTTACTCCGGGCTTTAATTGGTCTAGTTTTCAAGGACATGTATACATGGTTGTATACAACGTATTGCAAACTAGTCTGGTTCCCGAACCAAACAATGCCCCTGGATGCGTTAAAATTGTAGATCCCGCCAGCCTAAAGTGGCAAATATAGAACATGACACAATGCAAGATGTGTCACGTAATGTCAGGATTCAGGGCGTGTGCGTCCGTTACTTTAAAAGTAAAGTAAAGGCGCCTCCCATACGCGCGTCAACACTTGCGCCAAGCATTGCGTATCCGTAAAATTCGGTCCCGGGGCGTTTTTGACAACCGAACGCAACGCACACGTGTGTTATGTTAATGGATCGATTTTTGTGTCCGTGAAAGTGAAACGCGTGAACGCATCGTGCGATCAACGCACTCCAAAAATTACCTATGGATAGGCGCCCCAACCATCGTTAAAAGGTAAATGTGTATAAAATTTGTCTTATGTATTCAAAACAATTTTTTAAACATTGAGAAATCGGGAACTCCGTGAAGAAAGGTGGTTTGATTTCTCAAAAAAATCCGTTGGTCCCAATCAGACTTGCGCCCTTTTAACCACTTAACGCCGAATCGTTTCCGCAGTTAACGTATTTAAAGCATTGTGCATGTTTGGTCAAAGCGCAATTGCAAGGTTGAAGAATTTGCTGGTATACAAAAACTTTCCTCAAGCAGATTTTTTTGGGGGAGTAAAATCCAACATTAACTGGCTGTAATAGGTTGGCGCGCGAGAGAAGTTTCCTGACCACGTTGAGTGGTCTGAGATACATGGCGCTGTCTGTTCACTGTACATTACTTAGGCCAAAAATAGTTTGTCTCTGGTCAGACTAATGTTCCACAATTGATGCAGCGAAGCGGCTTTTTCCCCCTCCTCCATCGGGTTTGGATTGTACAGACAATTGCAGACACACGTTGTCGAGTCAAGGGACTAGACCAGCTTTGTTATGATTATGAGCTACAACAAACAACTTTGAATCCATAGTCTGGTATCACTGTTTAACATCGAACTCGTCGGTGATCTATCGCCTCGAGTAAAAAGATCGAGCAAGTTGCCCGCAAAAATGTTGAGGTAAGCGGCAAAAGAGGGCGCTGTTGCAGCTCTCGCAGAGAAAAACATACACTGGTTCCCGTCCCGTACGTAGTCTTCAGACGTCTTACAGACGTCCTCCAAACGTAGAGCGAGGTAGTGGGTAATGAATCCGGCAGAATTTTGCCGGGTGTATGTACATGTAAATGAGGAAACGATGCCCGCTCAATGCACAAATCAAGCAGGAGCTGATAGAATAGCTTTTTCCTCTTCATTACCGAAAATAACTTCACCATACATTATTCAGTTGTGTATGATTTAACATAATAACCAATGATTTGAAAACAAAGTCGAAAAATGATTTATGATATTCAAAAAAAAATTAGCTAACTGTGATAAACAGAGGCTTAGCAAGGAGAGGGGTCCTCTTTTTCACGTCATGCTTAAATGTGTTTCATGCTGAAGTATTGCTTTTGGCCTGACAAAAAAACTTAAATATTCAGCATCCAATTGACAGTGCTAATCGCACACGTTCAACCGGAGCTAGCTTAAAGTCCCTATGTATAACAGGGACGGAGGCCAGTCCAAGAAAAACAAACTTCGACGTGCATGCTTGAAATTGACGCATGCGCTGACCGCAAAGACAAAAGATTTTTTTGGCCTTACAGGAACTTCTTCTTGTTTCTTTAAATTTCTTTTTAGCGATATAACAAAGTCTCGGCCGTCAACTGGATGGTATACAATGCTGGTTGCTTTAGACATATGTGAGAAGATCCATGTCTACGGAATGGTACCCGCGGATTATTGTTCGTAAGTGATGTCAAGTTAAACGAATACTTAAGTTGTTTCAGGTGATGATGAAAATAAGGCCGCGTCCGAATTACTTGGCTGCGGCTAGAAATTATACACGGGTCTATGGTAGTGGCTGTAACTGGTTCCCATTGAGTCGTGTGTAATTTCAAGCCGCAGCCAAGTGATTTGGACGCAGCCTATAAGTTAACTCCAGAATGGACTCTGTGTTTACTAAAGAAAGTGTGCGTAGCTAATTAGCAAAAGATGACCTTTTGTCTGGATTGGTTCCATGCCCTAACAATTTTTTGACGTCACCATGCAGCTACTTGATTGTTGGAATAAGCTCATAGAGGCTGTTCGTGGCAACCACTTTTCCAGTAAGAGATTTTGTTTCACAGGGATACACAGGAGTAGACCTTTTGTGCTGTCCCCCTGTATCAACAAAAGCAGTTACCGGAAAGATGGCTGCCATGCACATCCTATAGCTACCACGGCTAGATTAACGCAGTGTCAGGAACATGCCCGGCTGGTATATTTGTAGAGCATTATCAGACGAAATGCAGAAACCGCAATCCGAAAACTGAGAGAACATCTGTGCTAAATGGCTGAAGGAAGACGTAATTATATTTCAGGACTTCGACGAATCAGACTTTTCATTTTCAAGATCGACGTGTGTTCAATGTTAAAGCTTTACCGGACTGTTCATTAATGTCATCCTTGCAGGGAGATCGCGGCCAGGGTTCTTGTTAAATGTAGCCACTGTTTATCACAGAGAGAGATTTTGAAGAATAAAAGGGAAAAATTAACACTTTATAATTATTCCGTCACTCCATAGAATTCACCCAAACTCGACTGTCCGGTACCACTATTTTGAAAAATTCTCCGAGGATGAGTGTACGGTATACCGGGAAAATCAGCGTGTGACGGGAAGACCGACCCATCGCTTCCTCTCAGAGAAAGCCATCTACGCCCGTTGGGCTTTACGATACAACATCTTATTCCATTATCCGAAGTGGAAACTTAGCCAAAGAGAACAGAAGGAAACTTGAGACGTCTTTTTAGCAAGAACCGTGGCTGAGCCGTCGCAATGCAGTGGCACGCCTCCAGGTAAAAAGTTGACAATATACGTGAATTTGCAACAGCTGCTAAGCAATGAAGCATGAAAGTAAAAGGTCACGCAGTGACCTAATTCGCAACCCTCGCGCAGTCCGCTCAAGGGGATTTTACATGGCGCTGTCCTATCGCGCTCGACAATTTTGGGCAGAATGATTCCTAACTGAAACCATCCCAATAAATATTCGTTTCAGACGTTTACCTTTGTGTTCTTCAAGTTATATTTTGAAAAAGGCACCCGGAGATGTGTACAAAACGAGTTTCATCAACGAACAGTCACTTCCAGCAATATTGTTTCCAGGTGTCCTTGTAAAAATGCGCGTTTGTTTTCATTTCATGTGTCTACGTTAGACAACGCTGCAAATACATGTACATGTAGTTACCAACCTGTAGTCGATGGGTTCTAGATTCAGGAGCGTTGACCTGACGCAGTTCTTAGATTAAACTTCAGAACCTTTTGTAGACGTAGATTATTCCTTTAAGTTTATTTCTTGTAAAATGCTTATAGTTTCATCCATTTTATTTTATCTTTTACCGAAAGACTACCATAAAACAAAATTTCGTTACTGTTCACCAGCGTAAGAGAACACCAAATTGCACTGTTCTTTATGTAGGATAGATTTTCGGAAGTGAGATGTCAATTTTTGCCAAATCTCTTCCCGGTCAGGTAATTTTTCAGTTGTTATAAATCAATTGTAAATTATTGTTGAAAGGTTACTTTTATAAGAACTTGCGAATGAAAGAATTTTAAACCTTTTTTGCCAGTAAAGTGTACCGGAAGCGCGCCATCAGGGGTCAACTTTCAGGCTCTATGGAGGTAAAACAATGACGTCACGGTTTGTCTACCTGCCCGCTTTCCAACAGACCTTTATCAAGATACTGCCATGTTTTTCTCGTTCCCTGGAGCCCCCTTGGCAGTAGTGATTTAACTTCATATATTGATTAAAGGAAGCAGACTATGTTTCCTTCCAGCCCCAGTTTGGTTACATTACTTTGAATGGTAGAAAAGCGAGATGGCTGCCCCATGACAGAAGTCTGTTGGGACTTGCTGGATATATGTCCCACCTTACTGCCAAGGGAAAAAGGAAATATAAACATCATGTTTTTCAACTCTGGCTGACGTGGGATGTTTTTCGAAGGGACTACAGTTGGGGAGAGGCCGAAATACTAATGTACTTGGAAGAGAGGGTTTGTGGGAACAGGAAATTGGTATGGCGCCCTCACACGATTACCTAGTATGCTGTTATTTGAAGAGCTAGAGCACGGACGTATATAAAAAAAACCTGGACTTGCAACGCCTTTGTATGAAAAAGAAGCCAACCAGCGGCCATTTTACCGAGCCGAATACAAAGGCGTGGGTTGGCTCCCTAC